GCTTCGTCACCCTATCTGGCTACTGCCGATAGGTGGGAGGAACCCCGACCCGGGCCATCGGGTCTTCAGGGTGTCCAGGAGTTCTCGGCGCGTGCTGAGGTTATCCTGGACGAGGAATACGCTAGTACTTCTCTATGTTTGGAGCCGGGCGGAAGCGCAGACTTTGGGAGGACGAGCCGGAAAAGCTCCCCATTGCCTTTTGCGCAGAGGAGGTGTTGGCGGGCTACACGTTCGCGGCACCCCCGCGTAGAGAGGGGGATAAATCTATCCCCCTTCTGGATGAAGCGAGGCTCACCATCCGGTTGGAGCGGGTAGTGGTCTCAATCGGGAAAGTTGTCGGGGAAATATGCCCCGACAACGTCCATGAGGAAAAGAATTTTGTCGCGAAATACGCGGAGTCGGCTGTACGGATCGCTCGCGATCTGGACCGACGACTCCACGAGAGGGAGGAAAAGGGCCCCCGCGGTCCGCCAAGCATTGTGGCCCGCCTCGCGGAGCTGGAGCGTCGAATTAAGACGCTCCATGGGGAGAACCGTGCCCTGCGGGCAACCCTGGAGGCCGGTCCGCTTGGGATTAAGTACGAGTGGAAAGAGGATCGATTTACGTTAGCCCTCGTGAGTAGGGTTGACTCCCTCGCGAGGAACCTCGCGCTGCAGGGGGCCCTCGAGACGGAGGTGACGGAGAGGACCAGGGCCCTCTCCAAACCCCCGGTGCGGTCAACAGCGACCACGACGTCGCCCGTCAAAAAGCAACCGTGGGAACCTCCCCTGTAAAGGGGATGGAGGTGGGACTCCCCGCGACTAGCCGGGATCCGCGACTCGCGCGGCGGTGCCCAACGACGCCTGTCTGTCCAGACGCCTTGGTAGATGGAAGGAGGCGGCGGGGACAGAATACTAACCAAACTGCCGTCTAGGGCCAATGCGTCTGTGCAGACGCCTCGGGCCATGGAGGGCAGGGCGGATGGAGGGAAACGCTCGATGGCGCCACCTCCTGTTACGGCGGATGTTCCTGGTTGGCCAGCTGGTCCCTCCGGGACGTCCGCAAAAGGAAAGTCGCAGAAGAGGAGGCGGAGGAATAAGGATGTTGCGGCCCGGGAGAAGGATGTCCTGGCCTCTGAACTCCGCCACAAACAGAACCGCCATTATTATGTTGCGGATGACGCCCTCCTAAAGGAGGGATGGGCTTCCGCCTCTAAATCGGTGAAGAAGAAAGGGAGGACACAGGGGGGATTCCTTTCCCCTGAACGCGGGGTCCCCAATCTCCCGTGACCCAGGCAAAAAGAAGCTTGACAAATCCGCGTCTGTGGTCGCCATTACGTGCCGGCACTGGTGCGGATACAGGGAATTTATGGCGCACGCCCGGGAATACGTCGATATCAAAGAGTTTGATATTCCGGGCGTGCCCTTCCGCCGGGAAATAACGGGGTCCCTTTTTATGGAGGTTCCCGTTCCCGGCGGCGAGGAGAAAGTGGATCGCCTCGCGAGAGACGCGAGGAATAGAAGACCGCCCCGCGAGGAATTAAAGACCGCCCACGTCTACTGGGATGCGACGGTTGGTCGCCCCCAGCGTACAGTGGATTTGAGAGTTATCTCGTTGGATAACGGGGTGACTCTCGACATGATTGCTCCGGCGATCGCCGAGGCGAGCGGGTGCATGCCCGGCCAGGTGGTTTTAGGACCCCTGCGCCGGGCGTAGAATGGCCTGGGGGCCATTAGGGTTAGGGTCCCCCAGGCGGCCGCCAGCAAGCTACTGGCGGTCAGGAAGGTAAGGATTGTCTGGTCACTTGGGAAAGTTAAGCGTTTGCCCGCTCGCCCTCTCCAGTGCCATGGATGTTGGCGATACGGCCATGTGCGGGCGTCGTGCCCTGGTCGCGTGGACAACAGCTCAAGCTGCTACAGGTGCGGCCAAATGAGGCACGTCGCCCGCGAGCCCACTGCCTGGTCTGTGCGCAGACGGGGCGTAACTTGGGTCAGCGCATGGGCGGCTCATCCTGCCAGACGGTGGGCCTGAAAACGCGGGAGGAGGGAGCCCGCAGGGAGAGGAAGGGTGTAGGGCGGAGGGAGCAGAAGGTTCCCACCGACATCGCCCGCCAGGGGGACGCCAGAGCCCCCACGAGGGAGAGCAATATCCCTCCCGCGGAGAAGGAGATGGGGGCCGTGTTGCCCACTCCACCCTCCGCAGAGGAGGTGCCGTGTGTATCCGGTGGTGATGACGTAATCGTTATCCCGGACACACAGGGCGTTGTTGAGGAGACTTCCAGAGCTGCACGTACTTCCAGCCCGACTCAGGACTGGAAGTCGGATAACTCCGGAATGGAGTGGTAATCGGTGCAGGTTTCGGCCGACCCCTGGGGCTGTCACTTCCACTGCGCGGAACAACGCGCAAGATGGGGGGGGGGGAGCCAGTGGCTCCTCCCCCAGGGAAGACGGCCAAAAACGCGAGGTGGGGGAAGACCACCAGCTCCTCAAGGTGGTGCCGAACACCAGGCCCCACTATTTTTACGTGGTAGGAGGAACCCGACCGACTTGAGCCTTATGCTCGTCGGGAGGGTCTGGGGATGGAAATAACCTTGTCCCCTCCCCCCGCCCCCGGAAAAAGGTATATGCGCTCCCTCTGGAGGGCAAGGCCGCTGAAGGACCACCGGTCTTCCGGGTGGTCACTCGTAAATATGGCGGCTGAGAATGTCCACGTAAAAAAAACTCGCTCAGCTTGGTTGCTGGGTACACGGTGATGCTAGTACGTGGCCCACCGGCCGTGGTTCTTGAGGTGTTCAAAAACGTGTTGGCACCACTCCCACGGTCGGGGGGACGGGAGTCCTAGCGACGAGGTGGGAAAGCCTCTCCCGGGCATTCCGGTTTACAAGTCGGGGCGCGGTTATGCCTCCGCGATCGAGCGCGTCCCTAGGTGGCGAATAAGGGAACGCCCAACAGATATGTTGGGTACCCGTGAATAACTCCCTCCGGGGGGGAATGAGCGGGCGCGGACCAAAAGGCGCTGGGGTTCCGGAAGTGGAGTAGTTCCACCCCGGTGTGGGGTAGCGCCGTCAAATGCTCAACTGAGGAAGGATCCCTGGTACGGGCGAGTGGGAGCCGCCCTAAAAGCTCCCTTCCTTAGGCTGACCGGGCCCGTTAGGCTTGGGTGCCACCGGTCTAGGAACTGGAGAGCCACCGATAAAAGAGTTCCCCCCGGAAGAGAAACCGTGTAAGAAAAAACCTAACATTAAAGGTTCCAATAAGAAAAGGAAGTCCGGCGCTCTCGGAGGCTTCGGAACCGGTGGTAAAAGGGGTAGGGTCCCGGCCTCCTCCTCGTCGTCATTATGCGACGGGCGGGAGGCGGAGTTGCCGGCGAGCTACGCCACTGATATTGTTATCGCTGAGGGCGATGGGGGTGGCGCATGTGCGCCTCCATCGGTGAGCTAGAGGGCTTCCACAGATACCACTATCTGTGGGACCACGGGCGAGAAGGCGTAGGATCTTGGTAGTTCCGGAAGGTCCATGTCACCGAGCCCCGCCAGAGTTGAGGAGGAGGGTTGGGTATTCCGCCTTTTGGCGCGGCACGCCGCCGTGTAGTATAGGCGGACTTCGACCTTCCTGAAGGCTGGGGAGGACACCTCGTTAACAGAGGCCATTGTGGCCTATACCGCCTGCGCTGGCCAGATGAATGGTGGGGTTTGCAGAGATGCCCTCAAAAAGGGGGCTCGGAGACTTGCGCCCAAATATGGATGGGCCTGAAGAGTCGTGTCCTTCGGGAGGCCGAGAAAGCCCGTCTCAGGGACAAGGAGCCCGAGCTTGGATGGTCAGACCCGGGTTTGGACTCTAGTATGGAGAATGTGGTACAGGGGCCGTCACCCGCGGAGCACATTAGGGTGCTCCGAAGCCAAGGCAGGTGTGACGCCCTGTTAAAGACAGAAATCCTGGAGATGACGGAGCTCCGTTATCTCAAGAAAATTAAGGTGTGATTGGCGCGAGTCTCCAGGATGGTCCGGAAGCCTGGCTTGCCGAGGGCCCTCGGCGACTCCAAGGTCATTTGGATGCTGAAGGAGGCGCTGAGGGTCGTCAAATATTAGGAAAAGATAGCTTCTCAGACGAGTAATATAGGCCAGACCTGGGTCGTGAAGGAGGCCAGAGATAAAGCCGAGATGGAGATAGTGACCTTGAAGTGGCCGAAATGGAAAAGGTGAGGGCGTGTAATGACGTCCTCGCCAAAGAAAAGGATCGGCTCCAAGAGGAGCCCAGGGAGTTAGAGGTTGTGAGGGCGTCCAATGACACCATCACTTAAGAGCGTAATAAGCTCCGCGAGGAGCTTAAGGAATTGGATTTCCTCGGGGAGCGGGTTCTCGGCTTGTAGGTCAAGAATGCCCGCCTCCTGAGGGAAAACGAGGAGTTGAAGACGCTGGGGAGTGGCGGTGTGCCCTCCCCCCCGCCTTTGAGGGAGTTGGACCCGCCTGCGCTGGCGGCTAGGGATTGGCCTCCGCTCGGTGGTAGGGGGGTTCCGAAGAGGTGACCGCGGAGAATGGGGTGAGTGTCCCACCTCCGCGACGGAAGAAGAAGGGAGCTCCCGGTCTTCTGCCGGGGGCGCCGGAGGATCGGCCAGCTTTGACGGGGGTTTCCGGGACAACGTCCTGTGAGCGGGGAAGGCCCACAGGGGACTAGGGTGTCGGGCTGCGGAGGCGGAGTGGGGGGCGTCGGAGTTTTGGACCCGCGGCGCACTCGGAGGTTGAGTTTGCGGCAGGAACTGCTGTTCCCACCGCACTCCCGGTTGATGCCCCCCTTGAGCGCTGGCTGGGCGTGTTGGCGGTTGACGGAAAAACGGGAGGAGGCTCCCGCGGCCGCCTAGGACGGCGGCTGTGGCGGTGTGGTGTCCTCCGGTGACCTCGTATGCCGAAGTCCTCCGGGGGGCGAAGGAGATTCTTTCCCTCCCCGAGTTGCTGGGTGACCGCAACTCGGTGAGGCGGGCTGCCGACGGAAGGATCCTCATTGAGCTCCACGGGGCGGGGGGTGCGGCTAGGTCGGACAACCTTGGGCGTCGATTGCGCGAGGTCGTTCCGCCCGAAGTTAGGATCACGATACCGTTCAAGACGGAGGACCTCCGGCTGACCGGTCTTGACTACTCGGTCACGCCGGGGGACGTAAGGGCGGCTTTTGCGGTCGCAGGTGGGTGCCCACCCGAAGAGATTCGGGTGGGCGACATCAGGCGGGCGACGGGGAGCCTTGGCATGATTTGGGCCCCGATGACCGCCGCGATAAAGGCGGCCAGAACGGCTCGCATTCGTGTGGGCTGGGACATTGTGGGGGTCGCGTTGCTTAAGGCGCGACCCCTGCAGTGCATCGGCTGCCTAGGCTTCGGGCACGTCAAATCGGCGTGTCCGAGCCCAGAGATGGAGCAGGCCCGGTGTTATCTGTGAGGTCGTCCGGGCCATGTGGCCCGGAATTGCGATGGGGAGTCGCATTGCCTCCCCTGCGAGCGAGCGGGTCGGCCTGACGGGCACCGGGCCGGGGGCGCTATGTGCGCTGCGATTGCCGCGTTGTCGCGCGCTGCCTCCCGGCCTCCTGAAGAGGCAGGATGACGGTTCCAGCCAGGGGGGGAGAGAGTGAGGGGTCTTCCGCCTCTGCTCCTTCTGTAGGGCAATGATCAGGCCCCCGGGTAGGAGCCGTAAACTGTGAAGGCTTGGCGGGGTGGCCGGCTCGTCGAGGGGGGTCCGGCTAGTGGGGGCCTTGGTCTCCCGGGCCGTTCTTTTGCGGCTGGCCAGCCGCATCCGCGGTAGGCGTCCCGGCGCCGCGTTATGCGACGCTGGAGCAAGAGAGGCCCTTCCCCGGCGCGGTGGGTGGGCGGGCGATTTTGGTCGCTCTCTCCCCCATGCGGCGCCGGGGAGAGGGATTCGGGAGGTGGTCGGAAGCGAGCGGGGAGTCTCGTTCTCGGCCGCCCCAAACCTCCCGACTCAAAAGGAGGGGCGCTGGGAGGGGCTTTTGCCCCCCCACCCAGCGCAAAACATAACATCCGCCGGGCGTAAAAACTCGGCCGCGCTCGGAGCGCTACGCGCGATGGTTTGAGTGGCCTCCATAAGAATACCTAACAGTGATGCCTGGGGGTAATTCACATAAGCTCCAGGTGGACATACGAAGGGTTTTTAGTGTGTATACATCCTCCCGTTCCTCTACAGGGGGAGGGGAATCCCAAATACCCCCGGAGCCCCCCCACCCCCTCCATGCGTTCGGGGGATGCGTAATGCATTTCCCCTGCGTTAACAAAAAGAAAGGTCTTTCTTCTCTCTTCGTCGTCGAGACGCCACCTTGTTATGGTGACGAAGCTTGGTGCTCTAGGGACCGCCAGCTGTGGACTGTGAAGTAGGTGGCTTCGCCACACATTCGGGGCTCCGCAGATGTTAAGAAGAACCGACTAAGAGCGCCTCCTCCTAGTGGCTGGGAGAGTACAGCAACGGTTTCTCCCGGCCTTAAAGGTAGCTGGGTTAGTTGGAGGCACGTCCCTAGTCTTATACTGGTAGGCACTCAGTGTCATGACAGGCGGTCCAGGTACAGAGTAGGGGGTCGTGGGAGGTAAAGGCAATTTGATGCCATGGAGTCGCGAAGGGAATTAGAAAACATAGGTGGGTGCATATTTTTTAATTTATAAGGGGGAGAACCCACACGCGGGCCGGGGATATCCTCGGAGATGGGAGAACCCGGGTGTACAGTGGCTGTCGATGATCGGCAACTGAAGGCGCGCCGGTGATACTCGAGTTCTCAGGAACGCCGCCAACGCCGGGGGTCCACGTCAACAGATTCCAAAGGCGGACAACTCTTGGCAATTTAGGGCCCTATCGATGAGGAGTTCCGCTGGCGACTGGGGGCTCTTTTTGGGGATATATTGGGTGAAGTCCGCTCTTGTTCCTTTACTTTCGGAGGTGTTTGCATCGTCCCGGATGCTTCGCGGCGGCCGATGTCCGGCAACGGTGGGGTGCGCCGGTGATCTTCGAACGAAACGCTGACAACGCCGGGAAAACGCACTCTCTGATCCTAGAGGCGGCCGTGGTGAGGCATGCCGGAGTACACAAAAATGGAGGGAAGGAATGGGGCGGGCGTACTTTTGTAGATCCGCGAGGGAGGGGAGCGGCCATGACTCGGGCGACCGTTATCGGGCTGGAAGGTCCAACCGCTCACGGGGTGCACCCCGTTCTGGGGCCACCACTCCTCCTTACGTAAGGGGAAAGATGTTCCTAGTCACGTCGTCAAGTGTCCCGCACAGGAAAAATTTTTCCTTTCGTTTAGGCCTAATTAACAAATTATAAATCAGACCGACGGCCCAACAATGTTTGTTTTTAAATTATGCATTTTTTAATAAAGCAAATCTTGATTTCAGGTGATATCGAAGCTCTAGGTTTAGTTAACAAATTACAAATCGGTCCGATGTCCCTATTATGCTTTGTTATTAAATAATGCATTTATTAAGGTGAAACCTGATTTCAGGTAATATCGAATCTTTAGGCTTAATTAACAAATTACAAAGCGTTCCGATGCCTCTAGCATGATTTGTTATTAAATTATGCATTTGTTAATTAAGGCAAATCCTAATTTCAGTTAATATCGAAGATTTAGGCATAGTTAACAAATTACAAATCGACCCGACGGCCCTACTATGCTTTGTTATTAAAATATGCATTCTTTACTTAAGGTGAAACATGATTTTAGGTAATATCGAATCTTTAGGCTTTATTAACAAATTACAAAGCGTTCCGATGTCTCTAGCATGCTTTGTTATTTAATTATGCGTTTGTTGATTAAGGCGAAACCAGATTTCGGTCGATATCGAAGCTTAAGGCTTAATTAACTAAATCGGTCTGGTAATTATTTCATGCTTTCCGACGTTCCTACTCCGCCTCTCAGGAGTTTGTGTAACTCGCGGGGGAACGTCCTCGGATACGGTCGAGAGATTTGTCTGCGGCTCTCGGATGGCTCGCCGGATATCCAGGTTCGGTCGTTTAAAGAGAAGAGAGTTTGGTAGCGTATAACAATATATTTATTCGTCGGTCGGAATTAACATGGATGAGCGTATGTAGTTGGATCTTTAAACTGTTGTCGGTGTGCTGTATCTATTGACAGGTGCCTGTGTGGTTTGCACGGAACAGCTGTTCTTCGAGTTCCGTGGCGAGACGGTGATGCGATCAGACGGACGTGTTTCGGTACGCGGCGCGTTACGTCTGCGGTGTCGCGAATTAGGATCAGACGCGGCCAGGGGAGCGGGCGCGGTGTTTACGAGTCGCCCGATTACTAAAAAGATCGCCTTTAAAGGCCCCGCGATGCTTTTTCGATGCCTTTAATTTTGTCGCCGAAAGTGCAATAGGTGACCACACGCAGGTGGCCCGAGGCACGGGTGCACTCCCTCGACCCAGAGGCCCCACGGGTCGGAACGGTGCGGCACTTGGGAGATCCCACTTTCACAATGTCGCAAATATCCCATGGGGACCGCTACATCGGTAGCATGCGGAGATTCGCGTCGTAAAACAACAAACGGTTGGTTTCACTAGTAAAATAGGGGCCGAGAACCCACGGCAAAGACGGCGAAGGCGCCACCCCCTTGCCCGCCAACTTCTTCGTTGCGACTCGCGCCTTCCCCCGGATCTTATAGACTAAGGTTTGCTCACTTGGTTGCCCAAATGCAACCCGGTTCCGGTATCGCTAGGGACACGGTGTCCCTTTCCGTAAGGTGGCGTGTCGAGCCGAGATCATGTGGCGGTGACGTGATTGAGAATAATTGGTGGAGACAGCAAAGGCGCCACCCCGGACTTGTTGTGCCGCAGTTCTTTCGGTCGTAGGCCGGCGGAGAACCGGGAACTCTCGGTGGAAACAGGGTCGCCCCAGGATGGCGAGTGCGGCTGAGTACGCGTAGCTGGGACGGCGAACACACTGTCTCGGTTTCTCGGCAATGTGGGTAGGATGTCGGGTGCGGCTGTGAACGCGCATCTGAGACAGCGAACACATCGTCTCGGTTTCCCGGCCAAAAGTATTGAATGCGACCGCGAACACGCGGCTGAGGCGGCGAACACACCACCCCGGTTCCTCGGTAAGGTGGAGGACGGGATCCGGAGTAGCCTGCGAACGTGTCGCTTTGACTGACTCCGGTGGAATCAGGTCTCGAGGCCTCCGCCGGTCGGAATATATATCTGACGGAGGCTCCTGGTTTATGTTTGTTGACACGCACGTGATCACGCTTTCGGCGGAAACGCGTCACTTGCTTGTCGTAGCGATTAGGATGGCGCAAAGCGACGATGAACTACCCGACCGATGGTCGGTCGGGCCGCGGGGGAGGGTGACGGAGCTAGTGCGCCGTCATATCACCCCCCCTTCTGGTGCTGACTCGTCCCGAGTCTAGAGGAGCACCTTGTTGCTGCTGCGGAGGTCTCCTTCTTGGGTGTACCGGAGTGTCCAACAGCCTTCGGTGGTGGTGAGCCAAAATCGCCGCAATACGTGGACGGCGAAGTGGGGAATCTCCGCGATTTTCCCTGGCTCGTACTCCACCCGGACCGGTGGCGGTGGTCGCGGTCCGGTTGCTCTCAGAGGAGACGGTGGTCGTGGAGTGGTCCCTGACGTCCAGGCCGGGGTGTTGGTTGGCCGCGGAGGAGTGGAGTCGCGGTGACACTGCCGTTTCGGTGGTAATGCCGGTTGTGGCATTCCCGTTCGCTTCCGTCACATGGTCGCGTAAGACCGCAGGATGCGGGTGCCGATTGCTGACACGGTTGGTCTCGGCGGACGAGGTGGCACTGGAGGCTCGTCCTCGTCGTTTGTCAAACACAAGTCGCACCACAGCTGGCAGATCCTCTACTCTCGCCTCGTAGCCTGACTACCATGGCTGACTCTTCGTTTTCAGCCTTTGTTTTTTGGTCTTATATACCCCCCAGCTCGGTGTTTGCTTCCCCCGGACGCGTGTTGTTGTTGATTGCTTTAAGGTCCTGGAGGTGGATGCGGGGAACGCGGCGACCTTGCAGATCCCTAAGATCAACAATTACAGTAAAAACAACACGTGCGACGGTATATGGGCCGCTGTATTTAGGCGCGAGTTTCGCGTTTACGGCGTTTGCCTTACTCGAGAGCATGTGCTCTCGTTTCCAAACCGTTTCGCCGACCCGTGGTCGCCAGGGTTGATGTCGCAAGTTGTAGTGGTACGCCTGTTTTTGGAACGCACGAGCAAGGTTTATCCGCACCAGCTCGAAGACCTCCTCGAGTTGTCGGCGGTGTTCCTCGGGTGGCGGTGGTGCAGATCCCGGTGACTGCCCCTCGTGTGGTATCCGCTGCTCGCGGCCATGATTTAAAAAGGCAGGGGTGTACCCGGTTGACTCCTGTATTGCGGTGTCGTATGCGAACTGTAATGCCGAGATGTGTTCGTCGCACCGGCGCTGGTCTTGCCGGATGT